CGCTCCCCCCAGCAGACCAGGCTTTTGTTGTGGACCCTGGGGTAGAGCAGCTGGGGTGCTGCCGGGTTGGTCCTGCAGGGACCTACCTGGCAGCCCAGCTGTTCTGTCCCAGGCTCAAGGTTCAGCCGCTGTTGAAACTATATTGTGGGAAGAGATGAAGTGAAGCCCCAATTGAACAAAGTAGAGGCAATACAAAATCACGCTCCCCCCAGCAGACCAGGCTTTTGTTGTGGACCCTGGGGTAGAGCAGCTGGGGTGCTGCCGGGTTGGTCCTGCAGGGACCTACCTGGCAGCCCAGCTGTTCTGTCCCAGGCTCAAGGTTCAGCCGCTGTTGAAACTATATTGTGGGAAGAGATGAAGTGAAGCCCCAATTGAACAAAGTAGAGGCAATACAAAATCATCCCCGACCTGTCCAGAAGAAATAGGTGAAGGTATTCCTGTTTGGAAATATCAGAGATTTATTCCCCGCTTTGCTTCCAGGGCATACCCTCTGACAGATCTGACAAAAGCCATGGCCAGATGTAGTAAAAATGAACTACTGCAGCAGAAAAAACTTTCATAGGTCTGAAGACGGCCCTCTGCAGTGACCCAGTGCTAACTTCCCAACTTCAAGAGGGAATTTATGTTACAAACCGATGACTCCGTGGTCAGGTTAGGTGCGTATTGTCACAAATGGTAGGGGAAGAAGAACATCCAGTCCTGCATCTTAGTAAGAACAAAACCACACGGTGATAGAGAAAGAATGCTTCGCAGTAAGGTGGGTAATGCAGAGCCTATGCTATTATCTATTCGGATGGAAACTCACTCTTGTCACAGACCATGCCCATGTAGTGGATGCACTGGGACATAGAAATGCATGGGTAACAAGATGGTTCCTGTCTATACAAATGCACATGCAAGCTGCTACTAAGAGATAGCTGGGGAGTGAGTAGTTTCACAAGGAAAGGCTGGGCTCCCTATCCCAGGGAAAGACCACAAGCCTAACACTCTGCTGAGGGTGAG